CCCCAAAACCCCAAAACCCCAAAACCCCTCTAAACTGAATTTGGAACTAAAACATGGAATGATTAAATTAAGATTGAAAATTGATGGAAAAATTGTCTAAAATAATCACTTTGGAATTTTAGGCTAAATCCAAATATGCGATGACCTAGTTGATGAACAAAATTAGTCTTTATCACTGCCTAGTACCAGATTAGTCTGTTTCATTTACTCCTATACCTTGTTTTTCTAAATTAAATCCATGATTCTCTGTGTTGATAACTGTCGATTCTATAAAATGATTAATAATAGATTAAAAGTATACATTGCTTGTTCCTCTTTCAGTAAAGAATTTATTATGCTCAGGCTAAATTGAACCTAACTAATAGTGACTATCCTTAAGATAAATTTTCAATGCTTTTGCCTACATCTTTTCCTTGAATACTTAGCCAATATTGTCGTTTGTTATGCCTATTTATTTCTTCTAAGGGGATGTCTGTTCTAGGTCTAATTTTTTAGCATGACTAAATTTAAAATTGTGCAAAGTTGCGACTGGAATAAGCTTGCGCTATTGATCTTAAAGCTTCTCACTAGTCTTTTCTGGACTCTGGTAGCTAAAGTGATTGATATGAAGATTTTAAATAGTTACGAAGAAGTAGTTTCTGAATTAAACATATTATACGCAGGGTTTTTCATGAATATGCTTGAAAAATTACTATATATCTTCTTCCCACTTGATGCAATGAGCTCGTTTTTGTTTGCATTTTAAGTGTGCTGCTTGTAAGATGTTTCAGTTAATGTTTAGGGTGATCTCTCAGTTTTGAGTTCCACACTTGATCTCTTCAAGTAGTTAGTGTAACCAACGTCTTTCTCTAAGCCCTAAAGTCGAGGAATAAACTGATTCCTAGTTGTACTACTAAATTCTTGTTACTTGAGATTTCCCATACTAAAGTTACTCCCTATTCAAAATATAGAAATCATAAATGTTTGATACTTTTAAGTTTGAGATGATGATTTTTACAGAACTAATAATTTGAACTGTACTAAGCTACATCTGCTTAAGAATTAGAAAATGTTTCTTTGTTAACGCTTTACTATACTGTTTAGAAATTTCCCATGTTTAAAAAGCTTTTCCTAAGATCAAGTAACTTATTCTAGCCATCCCTTTGTGTGATTGATTATGTTTAATTTTTAAAATGAAAATTATCTTTCTAGAGGGGCGACACAGTTCCACCCTCTTATTTATTATCACTAAAAGTGCCTAAACCTATTTTATAACTTGTAACTTTCATCTTTTAAGCATCTACTTTAGCTGACTCTAAATTGTTTATGTAGTATTAAGTGGGTATTTTATGTCTTGTAACAAGAGCATTACTTGTTCTATATGTATCATCTTAATCATGAATACCTAATACGAAATTATGCTTAATCATCTTAGTCTTAGTCTTATGATGTTAATCATGAAAAGGATTAAGTTAAGCCTAGTTAGACATTGACTTAACTTATGGAGTGCTATTTCTAATCATGACTTCTCTTGAAGTGACACTGCCAAGTTAGAAATGAGCTATTTGCAATTTATTTTTTCTCTATCTCTTTTATTCTAAATTTAATGGCTAGTCATCTTTACTATTGGTCTTAGGGGTAAAGAATTGCTATGTAATTGAATTCTAAGTCTTTGGAGATGTAACTGAATCTTGAATAGTAAAGTTGTTAAAAAACAGTTTCTTTTCCACATCCTTCTTTAGAAACTGAGTCTCAACTTTTTAATCTTTAATAAACGCATCACTCTGATCCTTCCGAAGATTGAAATGCTCTTAAGATAGAGATTTCTCAATTAAGTACTCTACAGATTATTAGTCAATTTAATTAAAGTCATTTACTATTATTGTCGTATCCAAGTGTGAAATGAACCTATCTCAAATCCTTAGAAAATGCTTCCCTTTTAGATTTAGGGTAAAAATCTCCTTCAACTTGTGGATTTCTATCTTTACTCTTTATTCGCTATGAGTTCATTTTATTACTAAAGCAAAATAAATTTATCTCTGACCTTTAAAATATTTTTAAGTTTAATATTTATTTGCGTAGATTCAATTTATCAGCTTAAAAAAGATCAAGGGGTTTTGGGGTTTTGGGG